AGCAACGCGTGGCCGGGGCACCCCTAGTAATATTATAATAAATAAATCCAACAATTATCTTACTCTTAAAACTGTCCATTCGTCTCATTCTCTCGAAACTTAGATTTTTGAAGGTTTCACTTCTAACACGTGTGATCTGCACACATGATTTTTTTTTCTAATATGTGAAAACCAAATTGTGTTACTGTGAATAAGAGTTATTTTATTTAAAATATAAAGTATGATATGTACAAAATTAATTAACAATTATTACTTACCTGTGAACAAGAGAAACAACAATTTAGGTTTATTCTTTCTGTCTTTATAATATTTTATTTATCTATCTATCTTTCTATATATCTGTCTTTATAACATTCTATCTTTCTATCTATCTATCTATCTTTCTTCGTCTATTCTTATTGGTTTTTTTTCTTCGACTGAGCTCGTTCTTCTTCTAGGGTTTGTTCTTATCCCAACCTATGTTTCCCAGTTCACTAACTTAACGATCCTATTATCGAAGGCGCGCTGATCTATGAAAGCGCGACTAATTTAAATCGAAGGAAGTATACTTTTTTTTACATATAGAAGTGTATTTATAATATATTTGTAATGTCTATAACACAATTATGTGAATATTATACACATTTAAATAGAAACTACTTTATTACAGTATTTTAATTCTGTGGCAATATTATATGAATCAATGCCTACGCCTTTTTATAATTTCTTGTTTAAAACAAATCATGAAATTAAACGCAACTACAGCTTCTTCATCATTACTGTCGCCTAAAAAAAATAAAATCTTATCAAGTGACATATTCTGTATAAAATTGTTAGATTAAGTATTCGACAGCGAGCCTGACATTTAATATGTCGTAAAGTGTATGAAAATAGTAAAGTAGTTTAATTCTATTTAATAATCATTTACCTGGTGCAGAGCATTTTCGAATAATATTAACTATTGGAAGGGGAATGGGTTCTTTTGAACCATTTATTCGACTCATCAATTGAAGTAATTCATTTGTAAGAAATTTGGAATCACGGAACTGTAATTATATATCCGTGTAATAAAATATAATAATTATTTCAATTAAGTAACTATATAACAATATTTACCACGCCATGTATTTTAAATACGCATGCTGTGACAGTTCCTACTTTTTTTACCATTTCTGGCGGATAATTAATATTATCTTCATCGAAAGCTGAGCCACTTAGTTCCATAAAGGTTTCTAATTTGAATCAAATATAGAACAGTCACTTGATTGTGTATAATAAAAATAAATAAATAATATTTCTTTTACCTAAATCCACACTTCCTTGATTTAAACATGACTGGAAATCCTTTCTTGATAATCCTATTTCCATCGCCATTTTTTCAACTTTATCATTTGGAAAAGCTGCTTGCTGAAACAAGTATTTTTAAAGTATTTTTTAAAACATTATTATTTAATTTTTAATACATATATTTACTGTATAAGCACACATCAGGAAAAAAACAAGGAACACGATGCTCTTCATTATATCTAACAGTTTTCTAACAATACAATTCGATGTAGAATAATATGTAAATAATTTTATTAAATTCTTTCTAGTAAATGATGCTTTACTAATGTATTCTATGCTTATATACTCTCTATAGATACGCAAACAGTCGAAGGTCGTAAGATAAAACTCTAAAGTGATATTAAAAACGTGACATTATAAGATATCATAAGGATTAAGAAAAAACGTTGTTTTGAATTATAGATAAATGTGAACGTATAACTTTGCAGAAATGTTTATAAGCTATATGAAATGAAAACATATCTTGAAAAAGAGAAAACTTGTAGTTTTTCTTAGTACATACAACAAATAAGTGAGTGGAAATAAAAGGTCATGAAAGTCAATCTGCGTAAAAATAAATATATTTTATAGAAATTAGAATAGAAATCTATGAGAAACACTTGGTCAAAGTCTCTATTTTATTTCAGTATGAATAAATCTCCAACATAAAGATAAAATTTACAAGAAAAATTCTTTCTCACAAAAATAACGAATCTCAAAATAATAAAATTTGAATAATTAATCTGATTTCACGAACCTAAAGAAATAAAATCAAATACATTCTTAATTTTTTTTAAAGTATTTAACACGTTCACGCTGGCGCCGATTTTCAGTGTCTGCGTTGTGGGGCGGCGCTCGAATCTATGGTGCGCTTCATTTGGCCGCGCGCGATTTTTGCTTGTTCAAACCTGGATACGCGTTGTATGTTTGCTCATTTGTACATTGAGTGCTTATTATGCAACCTGTTTAAGGGGTTACATGGGTTTCACGGATTCAGAAAATCGATTTTTTTTTGTTGCTTATTAAAATCTACAACATCTCTAGAATATTATCCGAAAATTTCAACTTGATCCGAGTAATAGTTTCAGAGATACAGCCTTTTAAAGTTGCGCGCTCAAGGCTACCCGCTGGGCTCCGCTTGCCGTAGGTATAAAAGAGCAGCTGCTCGCCCATTGTTCATTCGTACTTGGTTATTTTTCTCATCTTCTAAGGGTAATTAGTTGAAATACTTCATTTGGTGATTAATTGTTGAGCCACGAGGTTTATTTTGAGGTTATAAGTGTCCAAAGTAAATTATATTAAAAAATGCCTAAAGTTTCAAGATCTCAATTAGTGGACGGTATGCCCGAATGCTGACGAAAACCGTATCTGCGCCGTCGAGAAAAAATCTGCGAAAGAGACTCGTGAAGCCAGGATTCGTCACAGACAGGAACAAAGGATGCCGAGGACATTGCAGATGCAGCAGATTCATTACTTTATGGCCCAGGAATGGACGATTCAATGTAAGTCAGGAAAAAAATTTTTTTTTTCTGTTCTATGGTCACTCAAAACTTTAAACGTGTTTTTCTCAAAACTATGTTTTCAAAGTCGGTTGTCAAGATTTCTCGAAGGCTACTTCATCGATCTCGATGAAATTTTAAACAAGTCTTCGAGATACAATTTACAAGAACTTGGACGAACGATTTTTTTTTTTCAATTACAACTATTTTTTTTTAAATGCCGCGGAATTTTTACTGAATTCTGCATTTTTTTTGTAAAAACCGCTGTCAAACATCCAATTTTCATTTTTTTTTCTTTGTCCCATTTCTAGTTTGAAGCCTTAACTAAAACAAGTTTTTTTTTTTACTTCAGATGATCCTGCTTGGAGTTCTGCTGTCAACGCGAATGCACCTTTTTTCCGAGGGCTCGCCGGGAATGACGTCACAATGGCGGAGTTTTTAATATTTTTTTTTTCAAATTTCAGAAAATGTTTATTAAATATGTATCCTTAAGATAATAAAAAATTTGAATCAAATATATTTTATATATTATATGAAAAAAAAATCTTGAAAATACGCCGTTTTTACCCGGATGAAACCCATGTAACCCCTTAACTCGTGCAGTTTTTTCATCCTGTCCAGTATCGAGCCCTCTGTAGACGATAAACCGTATATTTTGTTATTTTTTTAAATATTCAATTCCTGGTAAACAAATCCTATGATAAGCCTATTAAATAAAATATCATAACATACTATAAGCAGTAGGTATAAGGTATCGTTTACTCAAAGATTTGGAAATTCTGAAATGCCATAAAATCCGAGACCATCTCAATGATCATAAAAATATATTGGTTATAAATGTTTTTCATGAACATACGTTAAATTTTCATTAATTCAATTTTCAGCGTCTATTAGCACCGTCTAATAGCACAATCGAATGCGTAGTACTGTTAGTACGCACTGTTCAATGAAAAAATTTAGCGCGGACCACCAGTATTACGCGACGCCCGATGAAAAAATCTAGGTTTGGCCACCAGTGGTAAGAGCCGGCGTGAACGTCTAAAATAAATCCTGCAATTATCTTACTCTTGCAACTGTGTATTTGTCTTATTTTCTCGAAACTTATAATAGTTTTTGGAAAATTTCACTTCTAACACGTGTGATTTGCACACATGATTTTTTTTTTGTTACATAGTATCTTGGCTGTTTCATCGTTGGGTTATGCCACATTTGTTGCGCCACGTTTTATCTTTGTATTATGGCGCGCTACGTTTTAAATTTTGAAGTACGAACTTCTTTAGAATAGGAGTGATTTAAAGAAATGAAACATGCTGTGGCGAGCGGTGGCATAGCGTGACAATGAAACGCATGTGAGTAGAGAAATAAAGGGACAAAATTTTTGGACTGAGCCTGCGAGAGAATGAGACAGAACAGAAAAAATGTGGTGTAGGGATGCTATGCGGAGATGCTATGCGGGGATGCTATGCGGGGTTGAAGAGCGGCGATGTTGCGCGGCGACTATAAAGCTACGATATTTAGTAAGCAGAGAAAAAAAGACAAACATATAGGATTGAGCCTACGAGAGAATCAGACAGAATATAGCTATATAGTTTTTCCTATTCTCGGTTTCCTCTTTATGCTCTGCTTCATAGTTATCGCTCCTGGTTGTACATGTGTGTGTTTGTGTTCGACTACAAACTACGAGGCATGGACTATTATTAACTCGATAATAAACCTTTATGTATATAGAAGCGGTATAAAAGTAAAAGAATAAATAAATATTAAAAAAATTAGCGTGTAGGCGACAAAAGAATAAGGTACAAACGAACTGACGATTGAAATAAAAAATCATACCAATGCCTTTTGATATACATATATGGTAACAATATTATAATAAATAAATCGTACAATTACCTTATGCTTGCTACTGTGCATTGGTCTCATTCTTTCAAATCTTAGTTTTTTGAAACTTTCATTTCTACGACGTGTGATCTGCACACATGATATTTTTTCAAATCAGTTCCATTTTAAAAAGGTCTTTATCTTAAAAATTAAATTATTTAAACCATTTATATCTATTTTCTACTTTAAGCTATTTTTTGCACTCAATTATTTGAATCACTTGTTTAAAGACACTTTATATGAAAATAGAAAAGAGGTAATCTTTTTTAAAAATTATTACATCGCTGCTTATTCATACGATACGTGATTATTAAACAACACGCGAAAATGTACATTAATGTATTTAAGTGGAATGGTATCCAAATCAGTCTGCTTATCTATTAAGGTCAGTAAACAATTTATTTTAAATAACCTTACGTTAATCCAAGGATGACGTAAGTAATGTGATATAAACTCGAAATAATGAGTTGAAAAGTGTAGTGTTGTTTGTGCAACTATTCAAAAAATAAAATAGTTTATATAACTTCTACGCATAGAGGAAAATTTTTTGCGAAAATGAAGAAACTTCATCTTCTACTTTGCGTATGCATTGCCGTGGTAAGAAACAAAAATTTTCTATAGATTTTTAAAAGTATTAGTATATGCTGTATATCAGTGAAAGGAAGCAACCTCAATATTTTTTTTTAATAATATAAAAAATAAGTATTGAATACATTGATGAGTTTTAAACGAGATAGAAGACTCAAAGACTTATCACCTTTTATTGTTTTGATTAAAAGAATTTATGGAATAATAGGGATCTCCATAACGTTTATTTGTGTCTGTAATGTGCGCGCGCTTATGTGAGCATTAGGCGACAAGAAAATGTATATGAACGATAAAGAGACGAAGAAAATACTTGTTTCCGAAATATGCGTGAGAGTTAGGAGAAAGATAATAATGTTAATTGTTAATTAGTCAAATGTAAAGAATGAATTTCCAATTAAGATTTTAATGAGTAAATTGAATGACGCTATTGCGCTTATTAGTACAGTCTTAAGAATTTTAATTATTAGCATTTTAATCGTATCGACAAGATATTTCCAATGTAGTACGTTTGAGATCAGGTGAAATTTCTGCTCACTCAGTGGATAAACGTTAGGCTAAAACAAAAATGTAGTTATTTCTGAAACTTAATGAGGAAGAAGACTTCTAGAATGTATTCAAGGAAGCTTGCAGGCATGACCTACAAGCTGGCGGGTTGACTCCCCTTGGGTACGATGATTTTCTAAGGAGTGTACCGCAAGGGAACTTGTAGACAGCCTAGCAAGATGCGAACTCAGACCGAACCTTGAACACGATGATTTTGTGTAACATACTCAGTAAAGAAGACTTCTAGAATGTATTCAAGGGCACTTGCAGGTGTGACCTTACAAGGTGCGGGAGTTACCGAACCTTGGATACGATGATTTTCTAAGAAGTGTACCGCAAGGGAACTTGTAAGACATGACCTACAAGCTGGCGGGTTGACTACCCTTGAATACGATGATTTTCTGGTCTAGAAGTCACCAGTAGTTGATATTCTATGGATCAAACTCACATGTCACAACAAAGATGATTTTCTCAGACTCAGATATTATAATCAAGATGATTTCCTCAGAAGCAAGAAACACAGCTAAGATGATGTCCTCAGATGCAAGAACCTCAGCTA